CGGCTAGCGCAGATAGCCCTCGTGTAGCTTTGCGCAAAATTCAAAAGCAAACAAACAAGCCATGTAGCCAGTTGCCTTCTCTCTCTAGTCAACAGTTCAAAATTAGTGACAATGGCAGATAACCTTAGAAGCTTTGCCATAAGAAAGATAGAAAAAAACAATTGCTATCAGTGCAAACTGAACCCTAGATTCTCAAATCATAGGCTATACTGGCCCAAATCTGAACAAACTTGAAGTGAAGAAAATCTAAAACACTAAAATTGTCTTTGATATCCCCAATTGGCAGAGCACAGATAGCTGATTATGTAGCTTTGAACTAAACAATAAACGAAAATAATGTCAATATTTCAATTATTTGGAAACACCAATTTTACTAGTTAGTTATTTTGTGACATTAATCCATTTACTCATGATTTTGATTAATCAATTAGTGTACATAACTCATAGGTTATCAAGTATATCACCCAGTTCTAACTATAAGCATAATGGTTATAGCAGGGTTAGTTCCAGTTATATTTTTCGCTATTTTGTTTAGTGTATGTTTAACCATAATCTACACTCTTGTAACTATTAAGGTTATAGCAGAGTTAGTTCCAGTTTTAGCTATAGCTTTTTGTTTAGTGTATGTTTAACCATAATCTACACTCTTGTAACTATTAAGGTTATAGCAGAGTTAGTTCCAGTTTTAGCTATAGCTTTTGGTTTAGTGTATTTTTAACTATAATCCACACTTTTATAAATATGAAGTTAGCAGGGTTATTTCATTGTTATACTTTTTTTTTTCATTTAGTCTATTTCTAACATATAAATATTATATATGGTTATAGAAATAAAAGTTTTTACTTTAAAATATTTTCAACATTTGATTTTACAATAAGCAGTGATACCATAGGTGTAATTATTTAAATTATAATTTATAGCAAATATTTTGATATTTAGAAATTTCATAAGTAAGAATTTCTGGCTCTTTATAGACCCAATTTATTTGAAACCATGTAAATTCTGGCTGTAGAGAAACCCAAGTTGCTTGAAACTGTTAAATTGTGACTGTATATAAAACCAAGTTGTGTTTTGAAACCATGTTAAATTGGTAAAAGTGTAAAAAAAAATATGGATTTTTAAAACAAGAAAATAATTAATTTTCTAAGACTAACGTATTTTTCATCAAAATGTAAACTTTCACTTACAAGAAATTTGGAGCTAATATGTTGAGTCTATAAGTAGGATTTGCTGATTTTTAATAACTAAATGTACAAAGAAACACTTGTGTAAGTTTTGTAAAGCTAAATTGTTTTTATTGAACACAGGAGTGACACAACAGGAAAATGAAGTAATTACTAGTGATGCATTAAACCTAACAAGTGGAGGATTGGGACAGAAAGCTGATTTTGACAGACGCACAAAAAAAAAGTAAGTGGTTTTTGGTCCACTCTTTCAATATTGATTTTATTTCAGGCATCTAATAAACTTCCAACGTTTTTGTGTGAAATATTGTCTTTACTGGGATCCAACAGCTATTGAACCAACTGTTAATAAATTAAATAGAAGCTATCATATATTCAGACTTTGGAGAGGTTATAGATATAATGAAATTAACAGTCGAACATGGATGTTAGTTTGGTTGTTTCATTAAATTGTGAATTGGATGTAATATGAATTAATGTGTTGGTATTAATGTGGGTGTTTAGAAATAATTAGTTTACTGCATAAAGGAATATTACATAATTTTCTGAAATACTGTGGAACAGTATAAATTATACTGAATTAATTAAAATAATTAAAATATGGATTTGAAAGATACTCGGGTACTTTCATATCGTGTGATTTAACATTAAAAGACAGCAAAGGTAGTAGCATCCTCCTCACAGTCAGCAACACCAAAAACTTTAATGTCATCAGCAAATTTATGTAACTCAAAATAAGCAATGGTCCTGAAATGCCCCAATCGTGTAATTAGTCCAACTTGACTAAACTCCATTTATAACAACTCTGCTTTCTTGTATGAAGCCACTTTTCTATCCAGTGAGCCACCAATTGTCCTTATATAGAGAGAACTTTTATAACAAGCCTTTTATGTGGCACATTAAATGTTTTCTGAAAATCTAAATATGCCACATCCACCTACCACATGTACCTTCACCTACATAAGCAGTAACCTCTTGAAAGAATGTCAAAAGATTAGTAAGGCAAGATATTCCCCAAGTGAAACTGTGCTGATCATCCAAGAAAATTTTAAACTTTGTTAAACGACTTTGCAAAGCATCTTCTATAAAGACTTTCCTATAGTGATGTAAGACTAATAGGTCTATAATTACTGGGACAATTTTTTCCCACCTCCCTTAAAAAGAGGAGTAACATTAGCCACCTTCCAATCTTCTGGCATATGCCCATCATTCAAGGATTTAGAAAAAAATACCAAATGGCTCACATATCCAATCTTTAACCTCTTTCAAAACCCTTTGATAAATATTATCTGGCCTGGGTACTCTTTCACTCTTTGAATATCCCAATATTTTCTTAACAAGCTCAGAATTAATGTATTCATCTTATTAAACCTTGTTTCTGTCAAGCAACTGTTCAGATTGAAGAATGCTGCTTAAATTTTCATTAGTAGAAACTGAAGAAAAAGTAGAATCTAATAAATCAGCCATCCCATAATAATCAGATATTAGCCTTCTGGTATCATCCCTCAAAGGCCCTACTCCCACCCTAACATTTTGCTTACCTTTAATGAAGAAATTGTTACTATTTATTTTGATATTTTCAGCCAACCTTTTTTAATACGTTATTTTTTATTTCTTAATTTCCCATTTGACCAACTCTCTTGATCTTCTATAGTCCTACAAATCTCCTATCATTGCAGTGAACTTAAACTTCTTATATTTATTATACCGTATTTTTCGGAATATAAGATGCACCGGTGTATAAGACACACCCTTATTTTGAAGACAAAGTTTGGGGGAAAAAAAAGCTACAGTCGCATTTGAAAGATTTTTAATGAACAAAAATTCAATTGGATACTTTAAAAACTAGCATATATTGTTCTAAACACAAAAGATCTCAAAACATCAAAATAAAAAAATACCGTAAATGATAAAAAGGTTTACTGTTATTTAGTTTGGTTCAAAACCAACAAA